CTGAGCCTTACTTCTTTGCAAATGTAAAGTAAGGCTAATGTCAGCACCAGCCAGGTGGTTCAGTTGTTTGGAGCATCGTCATGTGCAACAAAAGAGTTCACGGGTTCAACCCCTGGTCAAGGCCGGTAAGGGGGTCAACCAATCGATGTTTCTCTCTCATGTCAATGTCTCTCTCTCTCAGTATCCTCAGGTGAGGATTAAAAAATGAAAAGGCTAATGTCATTTATCATATAGCTGTGTTGGGTGGTTACAAAGAGGTAATATGCCTAAAACACTCATTACACAAATTAACACATACCAAGTGCTCATTAAAAAAACTAACAGTAGTAAATTGTCATTATTCCATTGTATAAATGAACTCTAATATGTGAAACTACTGCCCTACCAATGGTCAGACAGTTCAAAGGCAGTATAAGAGTGGATAAGAGCAGGGCCTTAGAGATACACAGACCAGAGTATATATCCAGGCCTGTTGTTTACGAGGCACATGACTTTGGACAAGTTATTTAATCCCTCTGCACCTTGTTTTTCTTACGTATAATATAAAGATAATAAAGTACTTGCCTCGCAGAGTTGTCATGAGGATTAAAATTATATGTCTTACATATAAAACTTAAATACATTTTAGTTTAAAAATCAACTTTAGCTTCCGGTTAGGATGGCAGAGTAGATAAATGTGATACTGGCATACTCCCATAACCATATCAAAGTTACAGCTAAACTACAGACAGCATTCAGAACCACCTGAAATCTAGCTGAACGGAAGCCCTATAACTGAGAATACACTGGTAAGAGGAAGGGAGACATGGAATAAGCTGGTCCCATATAATGTGTGGTGGTTAAAACTCAGGAAAAATAGGCTGTGGAGGTCCCCCAAAGGAGTGAGGGGTCCCAACCCCTCAGTCCAAAGCTCCAGTACAGGAAGAGAAGTCCCCATAACTTCTGGCTGTGAAAACCAGTGGGGATTGTGGCTCAGTGAGATGAAAGGCTGCAGGAGTCCCAGTGCTTCCTCTTAAAGGGCCCACACAAACTTACTTAGGCTTACTTTCTCTGAGCTCCAGTGCTGGGGCAGCAACTTGAAAGGTTTCAGGGACATATGGGGAGGATCTGAAATGTCTGGCTTCAGGGCAAGAGATGGAGAGGCAGCTTTCTCCCAGACAGAAGTGCTGGCAGAGGCCATTGTTCCTTTGCTGAGCCTTCCCCCTGCATGTGAAGGTGGGCACCATATCTGAGTATCCATCAACCTAACACTATTCACCCTGCCCTGTTGATTCCCTGAGACCTCACCCCACTCAACCTGGGGGCCCCTTCCAGGGGCTTTACCATACAAATACCCTGTCTTAGCTCATGTTGTGGACTTTCCTAAAATATCTCAAAAGTTCACAAACCCCAAACAAGCAGCACCTGGCCTGGGCATGCCCTGAACCTCTTGCTAAATGACCCCAGGCCTGGCACTAGCTATACCTATACTCAGTTCACAGCTTGGCCACTCCTAGGCAGCTCCAAGTCCAGCACAAGTAGCAGGCATCTGCAGATCACTCTGTAGTTCATGACAGGTGGTCCTGGAAGACCACAGGTGGCAGAAGATCTTGGCCTGCACCTTCCAGGAGGCCCCAGAGCCAACACATCTGGTGACCAGCTATAGACCCAACCTATGCCATGTATGAACACACAAGGGGCAGACTCAGCAGGCACCAGAGCCCTGCTGAAGAGTGGAGTTTTGCTCTGTGGGATGGGTTCCTACCCAGCTACTCCACTGTAGCTGCAGTCCCTTTCCTCCTTGTGGCCAATAGGCCTGAGGGTCAATCCCTCACATTGATGTGCCAACAGCAATCAAGGCAACATTTCTACTAGCAAAATAAACTTTAAAACAAATACTATAACAAGAGACAAAGAAGGATCCAGGAATTCCACTTCTGGATATTTATCTGAAGAAACCCAAAACACTAAATTGAATGGACATATACATCCATATACTCAGTGCAGTGTTGTTTACAATAGCCAAGACATGGAAGCAACCTAAGTGTCCTTCAATAGATGAATGGATAAAGAAGAAGTGGCGCATATATACAATGGAATGTGACTCAACTATAAGAGAAGAATGAAATCTTGCCATCTGCAACCACATGAATGAACGTAGAGGGTATTATGCTAAGTGAAATAAGTCAGACAGAGAAAGACAAATACCATATGGTTTCACTTACATCTGGAATCTAAAAAAAAAAAAAAATAAACAAACAAGCAGAACAAAAACAGACTTACAGATACAGAGAGCATTTTCACGGTTGTCAGATGGGAGGGGTTGGGTGAATAGGTGAAAAAGGTAAAGGGATTTAGAAGTGTAAATTGGTAGTTACAGAATAGTTATGGGAATGTAAAGCACAACACAGGGAATATAGTCAATAATAGAGTAATAACTAACTATGTATGGTGTCAGATAAGTACTAGATTTATCCTGGTGATCACTTTGTAACTTATATAAATTTCTAATCACTGGCTTGTACACCTGAAGCTAATGTAATATTGTATGTTGACTGTATTTAATTTAAAAATCAATTTCATTAATTTTTTATCATGACTAATTTTTACTATTAAGATTTTCATTATTTTATTATTTATCACTCTCTTTGAAATTAATTTCACACATCTGCATTGAAGTTCCTAGAATAAATTCTTAGAAATGGAACTACTATGTCAAAAGGCATGCCAAACAACACATTTAAAGGCTTCTTCCAAACTGCTCTCCTGAAAGCTATCCCTGGCCAGCAGCCACAAGGAGCAGAGCAGCACACACTCACATTCTTGACAGCTCAAGGAGCCTCACCAGGCTCTCTGTGGCCTGCAGGCAGGCTGTTCCCAGCATGGCTCCCTGTCTCTCCCCACTGCTAGGTAAGCCCCTATCTGACCCTGGCCTAGTGAGGAAACTTACTCAAAAGACCAACCACCATCAGGTCTTCCCCTATGCAAGTAATAATAAAGGCTATGTCTTTCCCCTCTGGTCCTCCATGTGGTGTTTTTTTTTGGACTAGCAAAGAACAGCGTGGCGCTCCTGGGATTGGAGCTCCTATGGTACACCTGGCTTAGCAGGCAGGATTGGCAGCATAGTCCAGAAAACTCCGGTTTCCAGTCCGAGGATGTGGGCATGCCTAACAGGGAAATCCCTGGAGGGAAATCCCAGGGAGATTGGGAGGAGGGACACTCCTGGGGTGGCCAGGGGAAATTCTGAGATGGGCCACAGGTTCCATATGTTTTGAAGTAGCAAGCTTCTAGGTTAATAGGGATCAACAAGGGACTGGGGGGACAACCCCTGCCTCGGGCTTGATTGCTCAAAATCCTGAGAACCTTGGGAAAAGATCAAGCAGGGAAGCCAAAGGATTGCCAGGCACAGTTGGCACAGTGTCCAGTTTGCTAGTCTGAGGAGGAGGAAGCTGACTCTGGCCTGAATCTGGGCTGTGGTAGCACACCCAGAATAAAACCCCAGTTAAGTGGGACCCTACTCCTACAAGGAGATACTTGTTCAAAAAGAACCAGTCCATGCTGCCCCCAACCCTGTGCCAGCTGGAGGAGGAGCATGTGAGGAAGAAAGAAACTAGCACTTTTGCATTCTAATTGTTCTCTTGGAATGTTACATCTTACAGAAAGGCAGAGATCTTTGTCACTTGCTTTATAAGCATACCTATAATCATGTCATTTTAAGTTTTGTCATTCGCAGACAGTCACTGTTTTACTCATGCATTTGCAAAGAGATTTCATCTTAAAGATCCATGGAAAGGACTATGACTTATTCTAAAATAGTTTTCCGAGAACAAATTTTCAATCATGCCTTCAGACTGAATTTGTGGAGGTGCTGGAGGATGGTCTGGATGGAGAGGAGCTGATCACATGGGCCTGGGTGAGCTGGGGATGGTTATTGTTTTTTTGTGACTTTGTTCAAAGTACTGCTGGTTTGGAGGATGTATTTTGTTTTCTAGATATAAGGGCGCTTGTATTTTCCTTTGAGCAGTTTGGTAAATTATCTTTGTAAGCAATACCAAAACATCTATATTTTTCTCCCTACCTGATCCCTCTAGAATTTGGAAACTTAATGAGTGAGTATTGGAGCTCCTACAGTACACCCTAGTAAAGACCTGTCACCCAACACTAGAGACTAAGTCTATTGTATTTTATTTTAATTACTCTAGTATACGTCTTTGAACATGTATTTAAATTTTTATTATATCTGGAGTTGAGAAGGAGAGAGTAGATTGTGATGTTGGGAGTCTCACTTTTTTCTGAGTGTTTGGCCAGTTTATCCCAGACCCCTTGTGAGACATTCCATTCTCTCCTCACTGATCTCAAAATCTGCCTTGTGACCCATCATACCCATAGGTACACTCAGATATGAACCCCTGCTGGGAGTTGGATGATACCGGGCAGGAAGAGATGGAACCCTCGTCCTTAATGCTCTCTCCTCCCTCCACCACTGGCCTCATTTCTTTGCCTTTTATAGCTGCAGCAGAAACCAACGCCATGGCCTCTTTGTCCCCATACAGTGTCAGGGTTACAGGTGTGGCTGGTCTCCACAAATCACAGGCAGTCCAGGACTGTGATTCCTGATAATTCTCCACACCTGTCACTGCCACAATTCTTGCCCCTTCCAACTAGAGGCTTAAGTGTGACTCTGTGAGTGTTCTCTTGGGACATGCTCTCCCTCAGGGTGTAAACCAGCTGCAGCTTTTCTTAAGGTCTCGAGCGTGCTCTAACAACTTTCCTAGAAATCTCTGGCACATGGGAGGCCCTTACTCCTGATTTCCAGCATTAGGGCAGACATTTTTTTCCTTGTATATTCTGATTATCACTTCAATGGGAATTTGGAAGTAGGTGGATTGGAACACCTGTGATCAAGTACCATCTTGCCAGAAAGCCAAATGGCTTTGTAATTAACACTCAATCCTGTCACTCATGAATTACAAGAACAACCTGCGCTTGGTAAGATTCTGTAAACAACTCACACACATTACCTTTGATAGCTGCTAAATATCCTCGGAGTTCTCGCTGAAGTCTGGTACCCTCTGCCTGGAAAACACACAAAGAGATGCTTAGCCCCTTGTCTATATTTTGCATGCAAACGTGTACCAAGCAGTAAGTCTCAGAATTATTATTGCCAAAGCACTCTTGAAAGAACATAAATGTGTGGATACAGACTAAACAAGCCCATAAGTCTAGACATGTATAGAGATTTTATTCAGTTTAAAAGAAAAGGACAAGGCAAGCACAATTTTGCTAAGAATGGAAACTGTGGCCCACCAAAAAGATTCCTACATATTCAAGAGCCAGCAAGTCTATAAATTTTGGCACATGGGTTATAAGGGGAGGAAACTGATCACCACTGTCCAATAGGGTAGCCCACTAGCCACATGTGGCTACTCAGTGCTTGCAACATGACTAGTCTAAATAGAGATGTATTATAAGAGTAAAATACACACTGATTTCAGGGACTTCATACAAAAATTTTTCATTAATATATTTTATCAATTGCATGTTAAAGCAACAATATTTTGGATACACTGAGTTAAACAACTGTGTTATCAAAATTAATTTCACCTGTTTCTTTTCACTTGTTTAATGTGTACACTAGAAATTTAAATTACATATGTGGTTTGCATTACACTTCTTTTGGACATTATTGGAATAGAGAAATTGTTAAAATGTAAATTTTGACATATGAATCTTAGTTTTGGTTTGGATTACCCTTAGAAACTCAGAGACCCTGAGTTGAGGATTAGATTACAAATAGTTTAATCTGGAATTAACCCAGGAAATATCAATAGGGATATGGAGAACTGAGGCAGGGAAGGGAAGAGAGCCATTACAGGTGCATTATCAAGAAAATTACCATGGCAGCAACTGGCCTTAGTCCCACTGGAGAACTCTGGGAGATAGTGTCAAACTCTATAGATAGCCTAGCCGAGGGGCAAGGAAGCTGGAGCATTTATGCATCAACTCCTGACAGTCATTGGTTGAGAACTGCTCCTGGGAGAGATTAATTCCCCCAGTATGTCCACACAGGGGCAGAGAGGTCTCCAGTCACCAGAAAAAATCCTCAGGCAAAGAATTTCCCTTGCTGGAAGTTCCAACTAAATCTAGTGGGCTCAGAAAAGGTAGGTGCTAGGGGCATATGGCTGGGCATCCACAGTGTGTGCTTTGACACTACACCTGAAAATATAAAAATATATGTACTTAATTGCATAATTATTTAATGAAATTGCATAGAGCTAGCATACTGAATGACTCCACCTTGATAATTTATAGTACTTGATAGTTAATAATACAGTTAATAATATAGCAACTATAATAGTCATAAGTAAGTGAACAACTATTTGTTAGTATTTACCAGAAAAAGGGAAGGGATGAAGGGAAAAATATCTACTTTCTTCAGTGAATTACAATGTAGTAGGGGAACTAAAATATCTAAATAGAAAATTACAAAGTAGATTACATTTACTTTGCACTGCAACAGCCATGCAAAGTGTTTAGAGTACAAAGCGAAGACAAAATACCCATCACATTTAAAGATAGATCGTGATTAATACAAAGAAATTCTGAAAAGAATTGTTTAAGACTACGCTGGACCCCCAAAGGGATTCTGTATGAGCATATTTTCCTGGTACAGTACAAATATAGTGACTTTTTTTTAATGAAATATATGTAATACTCAGGTGAGGTTTTCTTTATCTGCACTAAACTCAAGCTATTTTTGTCATCTCTGTAAATCCAGGTACTACCAGATAAAAGCTTAGGGTTAATTCATTTGCTGGCACATAATGAAGTTCAGCCAGCATGGTTCTAATCGGAATGCCAAAGCAGTAATCATCAAAGTTTTAAACAACTGACTTTCTCATGACTCATCATGGTTTGAAAATCAAAACTCTAGATTTTGCTTGTCTTGCTGAGCCATTCAGAAATGTAGTGTGAAGGTAAACTGCCATGAGCTAGGCAAACAACATAACAAAACCCATGTTGGATTTTCAAAACATCAAAGCATAGTGGAAATCTATAGGGAAAGGATGATGAGAATGGGTAGAAAATGCTGATGATAAACACTTGGGTAAAGATACAGAGTAAATGGATCCAGAAAAGAGTCAGGCCAAAATCCTCAACATCACTATGAAAAATAAGAATGTGGGAAGAAAGAAGTAGGTCTTTCTTCTACTAAGTCTCTCTTATATGACAGGCACTGTGCTTGATTCTGAGTACATAAAAACCTGAAAAGCTATGGCTTTGGGATATTTTATTCTCATCACATCTACACTGCATCTTTCTACCAGATCTGTTTTGGGGAAGAATTATACTTTCTTCCCCATGAACATCAAGCTTGGCTGTGGGACTTGAAATGTGAGGGGAAGTGGCATGATGCTTCTGAGCAGATGTAAGAGCCATCATATAGACATACCACCTCTTTCCCTCACCATGAGCCTCGTACTATTCCAGATAAGGGTTGCTTCTCCATCATGGATCATAGAGCAAAGGAACAAGAAGTGCATCCACCATTCACATTTTCATAAGTGAGAAATAAACGTCTGTTGTTGAAAGCCACGGAAGTATTGCTACTACAGCGTAACCTACCCAAACAGCCTGCTACAATGGTTCACCATCAACAGTGGAAATGCTGAAAGATGAAGGATGAAATCTAACAGGAAAAAGAGCCAATGGAATTAATGAGCAGAAGAGCACTGAAGGCACTTACAAAAACACTTCAGAAAGGAAATCAAATTGGAAAAATCAAAGACAAAGGGAACCGTTTAGCAAATTGAAGCCCACATGCTGGTCAAGTGATGGAAAGAAGTAGAAAGGTTCTGAGAGAGGACAGCCAGATCCACAATCATTTGTTACAACAGATGGCAAATAATTTAGAGAGAGTAATACCTGTAATTAGATAAGTGATTTACCTACACAGATCTAGACCCAGACCAACTGGATGCCTAAGCCCTAAAGGGTACAATCAGGATTTAAATACGATTGGAATCCCCTAAGGCCACATTTCTCAAAGTGGTTAAGTGTAGACCTTGGGGGTACTTAATGGCTTGTCTAGGGCACATACAGCCGCAAAATAAACCTAAAGCATCTCTCTAGAACAACAATTTATTGAGGCTGGAGGGGGAGCAAATGGGGGAGAAACCATTATTTTATAACTGCTACATCACCTGTTACAATGTAGAAAGAAAAACTGCCTAGAAATGAAAAACAGAATTTCACAGACATCTCCTGCTTTCAGCTGTCTTCTGTAGGGGGCTCTGCTCTACCACTGTTCATGGGCCTTTCCTGAAAAACTGTGAGAGGCACTGAGCTAAGACAGGGCTCACTTCTCACCCAAAAGGATGTTTTTCCCTCAGAAAGCAATACAAAGAAAATCATGGTATGATAATGAGTCACCACAATTGTCCAGAGTATCTGGAAACAGCAAAAGAATAGTGGAGAAGGGTATTCTTTTCCTAAATATGTAAGGAATAAAGCATGTCAAATTGTGACCACAATTAAGTCATTGGTTTTTCTTTCAGAATAATACAGGAAATGATTGATATAGTCCAATGAAAACAATTAACATTTTTAAAACGAAATAAAAATCCCAAAAAGATTTTTTTTAGATATAAGAGTGGAAGAAAGTTCAAATTATACAATAATGGCTTAAATACATGAATGAATTTTAAGTAGCTAAACTAAGCCAATTTAAATAATGTTCTTGCCCTGGCCTGGTGGCTCTGTTGGTTGGAGCATTTTCCGGTACACCAAAAAAAGGTTGCAGGACACATACCTAGGTTGTGGGTTTGATTATGGTCAGGGTGAGGACAGAAGGTAACCAATCAATGTATCTCTTACCTCAACGTTTCCCTCCCTCTCTCCCTCCCTCTCTCTCCCCCTCCCCCTCTCTCCCTCCCCCTCTTTCCCTCTCCCTCTCCCCTCCTTCTCCCTCTCTCTCCATCTCCCTCCCTCCATCTCTCTCTCTCTATCCCTTTCTCTACAATCAATAAAACCATATCCTCAGGTGAAGAATAAAAAAAAAAATCATTAACTTTCTTATTTTCTAATGATTAAAATTCTTAATTTTCCCCATAAGTATGAAGGTTCATAAATCATATGGTAATAACCATATTAAATTTCACCTAAATTTTGCCTGAATCAAAAAGGTAAAAGATTCTCGAGAAAAATTTTCACCTAGAATATGTCACATAGTAGTTCTGCACAAAAGCTATAGCACAATAAAGTTTTCTTAACATCATTATTCTATGTGAATCACAGGATGTTTTCAATTTGAAATAAATTCTTATAGCACTGCTCCTATTTCGTTGAAGTTTGTTCCAAATTCCTCTGAAAATTACCACTTTGGTAATGCAGCCTTGAATATTATACATATGTGTGTGTGCAGAAAGAGACACAAAATTTCACAGCCTTGAGACTACATGCATGTATTTTCCCTTCTTACCTCTATAATGTAAGATAAAATTATTATTCTGATCCTGGTCACACTCATCTCAGGACTTAGAGCAACACAAGAGCACATGAGTGTATTATAATTAAGTTGTCTGATTCCCAACTCATACTCCTCCTTGGACAAGATCCAAGAAAGATTCACCACCTACAGGATTCCTTGCCCTGGCATATAGTATAATAATGTTACTCTGGTGTTAGAGGTTCTTCATTTATTTTTTCAACTGAATCATTTATCAATGTCAGGAGCTGCAACTTCTCCAGCCCATATGGTCCCCCAGGCCCCACTTTCTTCCCACACAGCCCAAGGGAGTAGGTCTGCTTTTCCTTCCTCATTAATACTACTCCCACCCACTCCCTTCCCTGGGTGTCACTTTCTTGTCGAGCTAGGGAGAAGGAAGCAGTCTCCCTAGTCTCTTGCTTCCCAGCTATCCTGAAGAACAAGCAAAAGTGATTTGGGTTTCATCATGGAGATATCAAAAATTAATAGGCATGTAAAAAGTATGCACGGTGTTAAACCTTCTGAAGGTCTGATAATCTCTGTTTGTAGTCAAAAAATCCCTTTATTCCCTTGCTGAGTGGTATCTTGA